GCTGGGGCTACAGGGAGACCCTGTCTCAAAAAGACCAAAAAAAAAAAGACTGAAAAAATTTCTGTCTACAGTCAGAAATAATGGAAAAAATGTTAGCGCTCATCACTCCTACTCAACATTACAATTAGACTATTAGACTAATGTAATGTAAAAGAAATGGACATAGAAATTAAAAAGGAGGAAGCAATAATCTTCAATCATAGAGAAGACACTCTACACAGATACTTGAAAGAATCTAAAACTAAGGAGGCCACTAGCATTGAGTTTACAGAGTCACAGATTATAAAGCAGTTCCAAGGCATGCAGGAAAAGAAAAAATTAAAAACGTTGTCCAATCCCTGTAACAAACCACTAATTTCTACTTAAAATTAGAACAGAATTATACAGAAACTTCCTCATCTAGTCCTCTCCAACCAACATATGAATCTCTTTAAAAAAAACAAAAAAACAAAAAAAAATAACCCCACAGCATTTCCCATCTAAGAAATACTTGAGTAACTCCTAAGAAAGTCATAATTCAAATACAGTTCACTGAGCCACAAAAATTCTGCCATGAACTAAACACTCTCCATTCTGAGAGCCAACCTAATAGAGGAAGCAGTATAGAGAGTTGACTTAAATATGTCCCAAAATATAAGAGCTGAAGTTTGCTCTCAGCCACCACTGAGATAAAGGGAAGGTTTAAACTTCTGAGCTATGGGAACAAGAATGGCTAAATTCCTACAGTGCTTATCTCATTTCTCCAGTTTTGAGCAGTCAATAAAGAAAATACGTGAGAAAATAGGTGGTGATGAGAAAAACTTTAAAATTCAAAGACACAAAAGACTACCCAAAGTTTTCATATGAGAATCTGAGTTTATTATTCCTATCCCATTGCATATAAGGAGATATTAAACTAAAAGGTATTTTGCTTCAATTGGAAAAACAATCCATTCTTTTTTCACCGTTTCTCAAACCAAAGGAGTATCACTGAATGGGTTAATATGCAGTCAAGTTGTAAGACAAATAATAATATTTTGCCATAATAAATTGATATAACCATAATATTTTACAAGGTTTATCACAAAAGGTCATTAAAACCAATTCTTTCTAATAGTTGATTATTCAAGAAAAAGACAGTTAAATAGTAAAATTATTCTTTTTTGAGATAGGGTCCCATTATGTAGATCATGCTGGCCAGGAACTTCTGATCCTCTTGCTACCTCCCTAGTGCTAGGATCAAGGTATGTGCCACCACACACAGCAACAAAAGAATTTTCAAAATGACAAAGGAAAAAAACAAAAAATTAACAAACATTCCCCAAGTTTTTACTAACATAATTACCAGGTCCAATCCCTATTACATCTTTGAAAATTACTTGTTTTAAATAATCTAGTATGAATATAATTCACTTTCTTTCTATCTTAAATAAAAAGTAGAATTCAGGTACAGTTTCACTCGTGAAAACAAGACAGCATATCTTACTGACATAGTGTAAATATTAACCTAGGCCAATGTAATCAAAATAATTTCATCCATACTTTTATGAATATGGACTCATAAGGGCAACAAACGCAAAGCCACGCAAAATATATGTGTCTTTAAAAAAGCCCTAAAGGGACTGAAGAGATGGCTCAGCAGTTAAGAACACTTGATGTTCTTCCAGAAGACCCATATTCGATTCTCAGCACCCACATGGTGACTAACAACCATCCGTAACTGTAGTTCCAGGGGATCTGACATCCTCTTCTTGCCTCTGCAGGGCACTGCATACATGTGGTATATTTACATACATACAGGCAAAACACTCATACACATAAAAATGATAAAGGAAAAAATAAAAATAAAAAAGCCTTAAAGAAGGAGTTCATGAACCCCCACCTCTAAGAGAAGAGATAGTTATGGCTTCTACAGGAGGAAGAGTCTGTTTTCTTTAAGGGTATATGGTTCCTGGTAGTTGACCATGCTCCAGTGGATGGCTCCACACCCAGGAGTGTATAGACAGCATAAACTGGAGTCCATGGGTTATTTTAAAAACTAAAGAAGAGTAAATGAAGTTGGAGGAGGGGAGGACTAAGGAAGTGGGACTGGATGGGGGGAGTTAAGGTGAATAAATGCATTGTATGAAATTCTCAAAAGAATAATAAAATTTTAATTTCATTTTTCTCTTTGGCCCTTTCCACTTCTGAGGTATGCTTAGACTTACCTGCTTGACCTTTTACTTGAAAATCTTTCCTTAGATCATATAATTCATGTCCTCTGGCCTTTTCTTCTTATTGTTACAGTAAACAGTTGTTCCTACTGAAGATTTTTTTTTTTCAAGTGAAGGTTAACACATGAATTAACATTCTATATATGGAAATATGGAAGTACACAAGAGATGAAAAGGTTTGAGGCTATCTCAGGGAGATCAGACAACATAAATGAGAAACTGACAGGGTACATTCAGTATTATGCATTTCAATGGAATCTTACAAATGTCCTCAAGTATCTATACTAACCTCCAAATATACTCTAAAATATACAGCTATCCAAGGTCACAAAAATGGCTTGATTTTTAGGAAGCATTTCTACTGTTATTTCATAAGGGAAAAGGAAAAAACAAATACCTTACTAGAAATGAAGTATCAGCAAAAATTACTCTTACATTTGATCCTTGCTGAAAATTCTCCTTTGTTCCTTTTTCACAAGACGCAATTCCTTAAAAAGAGAAAATGAAAAAGGAGCTAGGTTATTATTCTTGATGCAAAGAGATGTAAATATTTTATTTTTACAAAATTCTAACCCTTAACACCATCCTTGGCAGATAGCTCCACAAATACTTGCTGAACAATAGAAAATGAAATAAACAAAAGTCATTTGTTTTACTTAGCCAATAAATACAGTACACTAATTAGCTGACATATATTAACTGAAGAATGGTCAAAAAGTTATTAGTATCCTATTTTATCTTCAAGAGGAAACTGAAATAATAAAAGAAGAATTTCTACAGTCATACAACTAGTTAAGTTGGTGAAGCAAAGATTAAAATCCAGGCACTATTTTAATTGCTATGTATAACCACAATTCAGTTCATGTCATAACAGAATAAACTAAATGAATAAAAAAATGACAACTGCCAGGACTTATTTTATGACAATATAACACTAGTGGCAGGATAGGAGTGATAACTGTGATATGCTAAAAAAACAAGTGTGCACTCTCTGCTCTTTGTTCTTGGCTCTCAGCCTGTAAAAGCTTGCTTCTTGGAATCTCTGGAGTGATAATGGTGTCTTTTGTATGCTAATAAGACGACTGGTAAGCAGGGGTCCCTAGATAGAATCAGGAAGTGACTGGTCCCCCCAAAGACCAAGTCACTATTAGGAGAACCATGATAACTTAATATATACTTCAACGGGTTTTTTGCCTGTCTTACCAACTTCTGAGGTAGAGAGAACGAACTGGAAGCTCTCAAGCTGGGTGGTTGAGGATTTGAACCCAGGTTCTCATGCTTACAGTACTGTTATCTACCAAGCCATCTCCCCAGGTTCTGTAATGGTATTTTCAGTGCAACTGAAGATCAGCTTCTATGGGTCTCCAACTACTTGTCTTAAAATAAATGTAGCTACCAGCCATTAAGAAGTAATCCATAACAGATATACCCTCCCATTGAACACAACTAGAAAATTGATCAAATATATCAAAGTATAATTTTAAACTGCAATTCCAAAGAAAAAGGAAAAATATCCCCAATAAATGGCTGGATGAATAATTTGGATGACAATGTAGAGAACAGAAGCCAGGAAGAATATCACTGGATGTAACTTGCAAGTTTAAAAAGTTGAGGTATTATATTTTTTTGTTTTTACACTAACGGTCCTGACTGTGTTTTCACAGCACATTTAAATCAAAATTCTCTTAAACTCTCAGTCATATCTAATGGCAAGCATAATTGATAGCAAGGCTCTACAGTTTGTCACTGAATATGAAGTTGTGCATGAATAAATAATATGCATACTAGACAGAGAAAAGTAACAATGAGTAGTAAGCGCTAATATTATCAAAGATTATAGAAAACTGGGAATGTTCACATTCAGACCAAAGGAGAAACACCTCATTGAGGTCATTAGTAGAAAATTAAGCAGCATCACCCCCTTGGCAGCTAAGACAACACACACCTGCTAGAGCAACATTTTAAAACCTTGCCTATAATGACCTTTAATCCATCACTCAAGAGGCAGACAGTTGATCTCTGTGAGTTCCAGGCCAGCCTAGCCTAAACAGACAGACACTGTATCAAAACAAATAAACAAAACATGCTGTAAGACTTTTAGGTCCATCCCAGAATCACAAAAATAAATGGAGCTGATGGCTCAGTCAGTGAAGTGCTTGACACACAACCTGAGGACCTGAATTCAAATCCCCAAAAGTCATAAGGGAAGCTGAGTATGGTGGCTTGTACTTATAATCCCAATGATCTCAAGGAAGGAGGCAGAGAAAGAAGGATACCTGGAAATTCACTGTCTAGCCAGCCTCTCTGCTTGGCAAAGTTGTAGCCAATGTGGAAGCCTGTCTCAAAAAAAAAGGTGGAAGGTACCTGAAGAACATCATCCAAGGTTGTCCTCTGACCTCCACACACATATACATACATATATACACCTAAACACATACACACATATACAAGAAATAAAGCCTCCAATGGCTCAAATAATCTGTAAGAAATAAAACAGTCTCCCAAATAAAATTTAAATCTCTTGAGAAGAAATAACAAAATACAGGCAATATGATGCAGAAGTCAATCAAAACTTACTAAGCTTTACTAAAAACATAAGACAGTGAAGAAATGGAATTCACATCTGGAGAAAATTTGGCAAAAGAAAGAGAACCAGAAACAAAGAAACCAGTGTAGTAAAGACAAACATCAAAATATTATGCTACAAGATGTATTAAAAACTAGAAGCAATCAATAAAAAATTATTTTGAAAAAACTTTCTAAAGATAAAAATTATTTTGAAAAACATTTTCTAAAGATGAAAAATGCAACATCAAACAAAAATTAACTGAATGGATTTAACCAATAGATTATATAATGTAGGAAATCAGTAAGCTAAAGGTGTAAAATAGAAAAAACCCACATGAGTAAAGAACAAAGTCTAAAAAACAGCAATTGCAGTCCCAGAAAGGAGAGACAGAAAAAAACTACCTGAGTACATAATAGCCAAAAAACTTGCAAATTTAAAGAAAACTGAAGAAATTCAATGATCCTAAGTAGCTGAGCACAAGTAAGTACACCAGGGAGGCAGAGTTAGAAGAATCAAAGCAAGAGGCCAATCCAGCCTATACAGGGAGTTCCCGGCCACCCAGGGCTATAGTGAGACTGTGTCTTTAAAAAAAATAATAATAATAAGGGCGGGGGGCTTGAGGGGAACTGTGATTAATTTAAGATTTACATGATAAAATGGAAGACAAGGAGGAGGAAGAAAAATAATGGAATACATAATTTCTTAAAATAACAAAGCATAAAAAGAAAATAAAGGTAGATATTTGAATTCAACTGCATCAATAATTTCTGTAGATAAATACAGTCTTAACAATCAGATAAAAGTAGGCTGTCAGGCTGAGGGTGTATGTAGTTTGGTGACACAGTGCCTGCCTGGCATATACAAAGTCCTGGGTTCAATCTCCAGCATGGTCAAAAAAACAGAAAAGGATTATATAATAAGAATTTCATAATATAGGTATATTAAGCATAAAATACAAAAGTATGTATCTACAAACATTAATTTTAAGAAAAGTGGAGTGTCCTTATTAATACCAAACTCAATTTCAGGAGACGGACTATTACCAGGAATAAAAGGACATTTCATAATACTTACAGTGTCAACATTAAAAATACAAAGTAATTTTGAATGTACAGCCAGTAACAATTTCAAAATACATGGAGCAACAGAACTAAATGAGAAGTAGATAAATCACAATTATAATGGTTAAAATCTCTTCACAACAATACTTAGTAGATGGAAAACTCAGTAAAGATATATAACCCCTGAATATTACAAACCAGAGCTCAGATTTACTAAACAATCTGAACACTTCAACCAATCACATTAAAAAAAAAAAAAGCATTGACATGTGTATGTCTTGATATATTCAATAAAAAAAGAACATTTACCAGACCATACATTTCTAAGAATCGAAGTCATATGGAAAATATTTTTTGACCACAAAAGAATTAAAATGAAGATTAACAATGAAAAGTTACTGGGATGAACTAGAGAGATAGGTAGCCCAGCAGTTAAGAACCCTGGCTGCTCTTGCAGAAGACCTGGATTCAGTTCCCAGCACCCACATGACAGCTAACAACCCTCTGTGACTCCAGTTCCAGGGATCTGACACCCTCTTCTCTTCTGGCCTCTTTGGGCATTGCATGCACAAGGTGCACCTACATACATATAGACAAAACACTCATACACATGAAGTAAATTTTTAAGTGTTTTATGTTAGTGGGAGTTTTCTGAATATTTGAAAGTATACACAGTTTCAAAAAATGTGAGTCAAAGAAATAAGAAAATTTAAAAATATATCCAACTTAAATGGGCAATTATTTTTTACCTTATTTTATTTTTATGATGGAATCATCCTGTGGTTTATTCTCCCTCTTAGAATCCCTAATGTTCATAGCATATTTTGAAGTAGAAATAAAAGAATTATAGTTCTAAAAAAAATACCCAACTAAATAACAAAATTGTCATATGCAGTAAAAAGCTAGATACTTGGAAATTTAAAGCTAAGTGCTAAATGTTGAAGAACAAAGATTCAACACTAGTGTTCTAAATTCCCACTTTAAGAAGCTAAGGGAAAAAAAAACAATCTATTAAGTTTAAAACAGAACTAAGGAAATAATAACAGTAGAAACTACTAATGGACCCAAAAAGATTTAAAAAAAAAAAAAAAACAATGAATGCAAAGGTAAGTGGTTCCTTAAGAAGGACTCCTAGCTCAACTAGCTAAATAAAAACACTAGCTACTACTAATTATCAGAAAAAAAATTTAAAGCACACTAGAAATCCCTCAAACATGAAAAGTATACAAAGAGCAACTTTGTGCCAATAAATTTGACAAGATACAGATAAAATTCCTTAAAACATTCAGATTAGCACAGCAGACATTGAAGTGAAGTAAAATAACTCCTCATCTAATAAAGAAATCAAATTCATAATAAAAAAGCTTTCCCCACAGCAAAAACTACAGACCCAGATAGGCCCAGTGAATTCATTAGTGAATTCTTCAAACGTGCAGATCAGTTTCACGCAGCATCTTTTAAGAAATGGAAAAAGAGGAGCCACTCTTTAATACAGTCAAGGAAGCCAGCATAAATAACCCTGATCTAGAAATGAAGCAAGGAGACATAAGAAAGAGAAACTACATACTAATAATAATGCTAATAATATGTACATATGCAAAGGTTCTTTACAAAGTATCAGGTCAAATCCATCAATATACGAAAAGGAATATAGTTCAAGTGATATTAGTCTTGAAAATACAAGACTGGTTCAGTATTCCAAAAAAAACTGCAATTCACTACATTAACATGCTAGGGGAAAATCCATTCACTTAATTTTAATGAATGTATTGAAAGGCATGTATTCCTGACAAAACACTCAATAAAGGAAGGAGAGGAATTCTCATCAAACTAAGAATGAAAAGAGAACTTTCTCAAT